CCTTAATAATGTCTATTTTAAATGTTTTTATATATTTCACTGTTGTGTGGTTGTGTGTGTGATTGTAAGTGTGTCAGCATTTGAATTTTTTCGGCACTTCCTTGATAACTCGGAACTCTTTGGTGTGCCATGAAATTCCAGAAAGATTTTTTGTGCGTCGCAGGTGAAAAAAGGTTGCGGAGCACTGCTACAGAGACTGATCCGTAGGAGTCTGTGGGCAGTGGTCACTGACACTAACCACAAGAAGTGGTCATTTTTTCACACATCTTGAACAAAATATGTGTAACTGTCGCAAATAATTTCATTGTAACACCCAATATAGTAAATAAGACAAGAGTTTTACTGAAAAAGTTAATTGCCTTTTCCTGCCCTTCAAAGAGTTAACACTAATGTTAGTAGTCAATGGTTAATTCTGTAGAATTGTTTCATGCAATTCTAGCACTTGTGGTTACAATTTAAAGAAGGGATAAGTTAATCATGAGTACTACAAAAAAATCTTATCCTCTCGAATTAAAAAATTTTAATGAATCTCTTCATTATAAATAACATCTACATATTTATAATAGCAAAATGAACATATGAGCATTATTCGCATTACACTGGACAAGTCAAATTTAATTTCAAAGTCTACCTTCAGTTCTAACAAACGAGGATTTTTGTAAAGAATGTTGTTCATTTAAGCATAAAAGTTTCATGGGAATTAACAACGTGAGAAATGTTGTCACATAACGACAATTTAGGCTAAAGTTGTGATAAATCAAGAGAATTCCTAGTTTTAACCTCAGCATATCAGCATCCAATATTAACACACAGCAAATTTTAAATTTCTTTGATACAAATGTTATAAATTGGATCTAATGATGTTTCAGCAACAAATCAATATTAATTTTGATAATACACATGAAGAACAACTCCCAATTTCAGGCTGCAGCCAAAGATGCAATTTCATACGGGATCTTGACAGTCATACAATTGCTCTCAGGATTTTTTTAAATCCATTCTTAAATTTCACAATGTTGCATGAAGCGTATTTCAACAAAAAGGGTGGCAACCCTATACAGATATTCACAACATTTATCAGCAAATAGAAGACGAATGCTTTTCTAATATACGTTTCTCCCATACGTCTGCTTAATGATTAGTTTTAGAGAACTAAAGTATGTATTTTAAGACAAATATGCACATTTCAATTTTTACAAGATAAAAGATCGTAAATTAATAATTGTTCATTTAGAAATTTTGTTATTAGGAAATTAACATTTTATTCAGACACTACACCATTTATTATGTTACTATTTCTATACCAATTATAAAAGGTGCTAACATACCTTACTGCCAACTTTGAAATGTGAAAAATTGAGAGCTTAGTTTGCCAAAAATGTTATTAATATAAAATTAAATATAAATAGTTACTTTAAACATTTGGTTGAATCTTCATACGAAATTCTAAAAATGTTAAAGTAAAACAAGGAAAATTTAAAAAGAAAAATTATGCAAAATATAACTAGAGATGAAGGGAATGAAATTTACGCAAAATTAAGTTTCATTATTATTAGTTCTTTTCAGATAGCCTAAATATTTCAAATCATCTATGACTGACAGGTGGATTTAATTTTCAACTTGATTGCCAATTACAGTCAAAAGTCGTTAATCCGGACTCGTCGGGACTTCGGCGATTCCGGATTATCGATTTTTCCGGATTATAGATCATCAGTTTAAATCTCGTAAGATGGCATGCAGAAATTCTAAAATTAAAAATATGAAACCGTAACTTATGAAATAAAGAACAATTATGATCTAAAGGGTATCAAAATTTACAAAAAAAAAAAAAAAGCTTAATATTTATTTACTTTATCAAACATTTCTTTCAATGTAAGTTGTTTAAGTTGCTTCATTTTATGTGATAATACTTTCTCTTTAATTCTATAAAAAGACATAATTTCTTGTTCAGTTACAAAGTTCCGCTGTTCAAGTCCCGTTAATTGCTGTGCCGAGAATACCAACTAACTTGTCAATCGAAATTTTTTCGTTTTTATTAACCTGTCACATTCTTCATGTCTTTATCCATTTTTTGCAGCAATTCCACTTTTTGTTTGTTGGACATCGAAACATACTTTCGTTTTGTAGATCCTTTGGAAGTTCCAGCATCGGAAATTCTATTTGACATAATCGAAAGTTAAGTTTACTTTTATAAAATTGCTCTTACAGTCTGCAAAAAATAATAAGCGGGTTCCAATTCGAAGATTAAGGAACAATGCAATCATTAATATTAACTGAAATAGATAATTAGATAATTTTAGCTTACACCGTCCGTTATACATTAAACGCGCAGGCGAAAACGTATTCTGCACTTGCGCACACGCATATGCGCAGTAGTCAAAATCTTACGCGCACGCGTAAAACACCTGTGCCAACGCGGCGCATGCGCAGAAACTTTTTAGCTTTGAGGTCCGGATTATAGGTGTCCGAATTAACGACTTTTGATTGTATTCACAATATTAAGCAAAGATAACTGATGCATTACACTTACGTCAAAACTTTTCTGTACATACCCATCTCAGTCTCCAAATACTAACTTTTTTGTTAAACGGAAATATGTTTAGCATCTAAAAAAGTTTCCTTTTTAAATAAACATGAAAAAGTTTGCCTGTATTCTTATACTTAAACAAAAATCATAAATCTGGCAACATGCCAAACCAATCACATACCTAATGTAAAACATATCTATATAAAACAGCCAATGATGCTACCTCTGAATTGATATTTTATAATTAAAAATATTATTTGAAAACATATAGCAAAACTCCAGACAAATAGAGACAATTTTAATAATGTTAAATTAGAAAAATCAAATGCTATCTTAATGTGAAGAAATTCCTTCTCTTAACAGTTAGTGCTATGTTACTGTATATTTAACAAATTCATTACAACAAATATAACTGCTTAAATGATTGCAGCAAAGAAATTGAGGAGCACATGTTTAAGAAGGATGCTTTTATTGAGAACTTGGCAGTATGATTTTCTTTATGAACTGTTAGGAAAGATATCCGACTCGCTTCGCAATGTGGAAATAGCTTGTACATTCACATTTCATGTAAACATTCATGCAATAATTCAGTAAGATTCAAACTGAATTAAACTAGAAACATTTAATGATCTTAAACCACTGGAAAACACAACTATATGTTTTAATCTCTTTTTTTAAATAAACATTACTTGCTTCCTGTGCTTAACACATTTGTATCACAACTGTAGATAAACACACAATTTGCCTTGTCATTATCACCACAGTACATAATATGTGCATGAATATATTAAGTGTACTTCTTATTAGCAAAAGGAAAGGAAAATTGCAATTTTAAATAAACATGACATTGAATTAATTCAATAATATATGCATATCTTGTTTTTTTCAATGGTATTAATTTTTTTCCAGTTGAATGAAATTAGGAGAAGAATTACTTGGGCAATATTATTTAATAAGCAAGCTTTTCACAATTCTTGATTTAATTATAGAAAAGTCGTCACAGCTATAATTATTCCGCAAATGAATACTTAGAGCATACATTAGTATAAAATCAAAAGGAAGCACGGTAAAATCCTAGTATACGACGATTTTGAAAATATCGCTACACCAAAATGACTCACATGTACTCTCATCATAAGTATTTATTTTAGTAATTATATGCACTCTTCTTTGAAAGGCCCATTCCCCCCCCAAAATTATGACAACGCAGAACACTGCTGAGCATAATTTCAACTGATACATTTTGAAGAAATCACCAATTATGCCCAATCATTATCAGATTTGCTTTAAAACATAACACCAGTTCTTTAAAAGAACGATGCAATTATTTTATACTGCGATTCTACAAAAGCTATTATAATGCTACGTCAGTTCATTAAATGAACTTTTATTCACGAAGAAGGAAATTTCATTTATATTGAAATTTTATTCATTATAGTCCTATGAAATAAATTTAATAAAACATCACAAATTTCACAATCAGCCTCATCTATAATGTTACAAGTTTGAAATCAACTTTTTAATCTCCTCAATTTGACAAATAACAAAATAGATCATAGTGACATATAATTCCTCTTCATGAATAATTAGGAAGTCTTCATTAAAAAAATACTTTAACTCCATTTTTATTTCAGTATTTGTAAAAATTTTTAAATATATGGTGGTTGATCTACTGATTATGAGAATGCAAGCAACTGCTATTTTGAAAATGAAGACAAACGATATAGAAAAGTAAAATAACTATAAAAATATTAATACAAGATTGTGTTACAAACTTTAAAAAAATGAAAACTATAAATGTCACATCAGATCTCAAACCGAAACAGAAAAATCATTCAGATAGCAAGATTTTTTTTTATTTTTTTAAAATCATACTTATTTCAAAGTCTAGAAAATATAACTTTACTTAGATTACAGATAAAAAACCTGATCTACCATTTTTAGAATATTCATTTCTACTTTTTAATAATGAAAATTTCATACAAGTCTAAAATCTTGGGCCAAAATTTGTTGTAAATATATGCAGGATAAAGATGCATAGAAGAAAAAAAAAAGGGGGGGGACTAGTTTTCCTAATTAAGTGAACAATATCAAATCTGAAACTTTCCACAAAAGTTACTTTATATGTTTAGTAAAACTTAATGGGCTAATGAGAATAGAAATAAATAACTGAGAGCTAAGTTATGTTCCTCATTATACCAAAATTATTAACCTACTTATGTGGTTATGTTTATGGAAGTGTTATCCTTGTACTGGTGTACGTATGAACAAACGTGAATAGCATACAAAGGTATTACTCAGAAGTTTAACGTTTTTCAGTTAAAATTCTCTAATTGATTTTCATATTGATGGACTGCAAATCAAAAGCACCACCGATTCAAATATATATCCAGGCATTATTTCATGCTATGAACAGATGCAGGACAAAATCAAAAATATAATTAAACGACAAATAACACAGAATTTAACGTACTGGACCTGGCATGGCTAATTTAAATCATATACTGCAGTCTTAACAGGTGTAATGAATTAAGTAATCCTTAGACAGCTAGATGACATAAAAGGTAATATTTCCGTTTCTTTTGTGGTTAATCCTTTGTTATAATTTATCCAGGTCCAAATGCATGTCAATCACGTACCAGTGGGCAAATAAACTATACTCCAAGCTTATGATATTGAAATTTTTCATACACACAATTTAGAATAACTTATGTTTCCCAATCAAAAACACATAATTTAGAATCCGTTATATATTTCCAAGACGAAAACTATGCTTGAAACGCAATGCAGACGTGAGCTAAATTGCACTGCCCTCTTTTGGATCAAGTTAAGATTGGTGAAGAGATCTAAAATTTCCCTGAGCAGAGCACCTAACGCTTGCCAAAGAAACTACTACAGGCCAAGCCCTGAAAAACAGTCGCACGCGATTCTAAATATAGCTCGAGCGACCAAAACAAGAAATAAACAGCTATTCTTATTTACTTTAGTCTTTGTTAGCTCAGAGAGAAGATGTAGTCATCAATCAGCAAACACAGTGAACTTTCTCAAATGAAATCTGCATCAAGAAATCATCCAAGTGCTAAGCAATGGTACGATTTAGGCTTAATGCAACACCGGCAGAACTCAAATTTTTCGTAAATTAATAAATACACAGAATGCATGAACAAATAAATTTCTATCCTAGTAAAGAAACAAATTATGCATTGTAAAATCAACAACTTAACTCACCATGGTGTTTTTTTAAATACCCCACAAGCTATTTAAATTACAGAAGACAAAATTTTCACCGGCTTCTTTCACACAAGACACGGGAGGGTTCAGCAAGGTGCTGGAATACTGTATCCTTACGCACGCAGTTTTCCTAGAATGTCAGGCGCATCGTCATTTGCGAAATCAAAACGTTTAAGTGGCGAGCTCCTGATCTCATCCAATGAGATCGTTTGTTACAAAAATCTAGGTGATAGTGTATTTGCATTTCAACGCCTCTTTTACGCAGTTGTGTAAACTTGCGAAAGTTATCTAAAAACTAGTGATAAAAATTTTAACACCCGAAGAATTACTTATTAACTTTTATTTTGAGATTTTTTGTATAATAAAAGTAAAATGAAAGCGCACTATATTATGTAAGCTATCTGAAGCTGTCTTGCAGTAAGAGATGACTCCCTCTTTAGGTGAGTCAGCGGCCGAACAACGCCGTTGTTTCATGCTACGGTTGCTTTAAAAATGAGACCCAATCAGATATTGCTATGGGGCATATAGCCTTTTTAGGAGGTGTAGGTAGAGTTTGCCTATCGAACGTGAATAAAATGAGGGCGAACGAAATTTCGATTTCCTGTATTTATTTTCCCCCACTTTTATATTTCAACTTGGGATTATTATTGAGTCACTCTTAAGCTTCTTATCGCCTTTCGGGTATGGTATTGCCATCATTCCTAGTGTGCAAACATATAGTATTCATTGAGGAAGTTTTTGGACTGAGGGTTTCAGGAAATTTCGACTAGAAAGTTTGTAATTTAAGTTGCTATATGCAATATACATTTGAAATATTTTAAGGGTATGGTTTTGAAGACTAAATTCATTGTTGTATGTAACTTTAAAAATAATTGGTAATTTTGAAAGGATTTAATTAATTTTTATTAATAGGGATTAGTTAAAATTGTACATCTCATTAGAAGAACCATACAGTATTTTGATGTAAATGAATACAAATTTATTTGAAAACTTTGATTTTTTGTAATGAAGTCACCATTTATACGATTTAGTACTAAATCAGTTTAGACCCTAAGAAATATGTCGGGCTGCAGTTCAAATGCCAACGAAAGGGTAGAAATGCCCTTCTACTGTTTTCTTCGTATGTACAATGCATCCCTGTCCCCTCAGTCTTTAAATTTGTCTACAGATTTTAAATTATTTTGTTTACAAAAGGAAAAACCACAGATCGACAACTGAACCACGGTTCGTATGATTTATATTAGTTACTAGTAAGCTTCCGCTTCTCTGACGAATCGAATAAGCGAACGCGTGAACCTTGTAACGGTGCGGTTTGGTGAGTTTAATTATGGCAAAGTACTCGAAGGCTATCTTCTTCGGGGAGAGATGCCTTCATGGAAGACTTTCAAAGGGATGCTGGCTCGTATACACATTATACATGAGGAAGACCACGAAAATGCCCATGCAGCCAGCCTGATTGCCGGATTCGAAGCCCGGACCGAACTTCAGCGTTAGGCCGCAGGTGGGGCTCGTATGAAATGCATGGCAATGAGAATAGGAGAGTTACAAAGTAGAAAGTAAATCCAACTATAACTATATACATTATATATATATAACTTATAGTTGTAGTTGTATATATATATATACAACTACAGCTATAAGTTATATATACATTTTGAAACTTGGCGATAAGCTTAAACGAAGTTATATAATAAATAAACAACAAAGACTGATAAATTATTTGTTGTTTTATTTTATTACTGATACTTTGCGCAATATTGACAGTAAAGCTAACAAAAAAAAATATGAAATTAATCGAAAACTTCATAATACACAATGTTTCGAGTAAAAATATTAAATATAAGCACCAGTTGAGTGCGTCCACGCAACGCACAATTTTCCCCCCCTCTCTCGCCCTTTTCTAATATAAGATTGTAAATTAAAAATTTTCCAAGAAGTCTTTATATACTAGTTTAATTATAACAGTTTAAGAATTAATTTATCTGACAGCAATGTTGTATTGATTCATTCGGTTGGTATATCTACACTGAAAAGTTGTGTATACATTTTAAATTTTAAATGAATATCAATGTAGGATAATTAACTGTTTTAAAAGCACTTTTAAAACGTATTTAGCACATACAGAAATTTCTTATCTTGATATAACATTTTTATGAAAAGGAATCTTAAAATAATCAAGGAAGAAAGAATCGAGAGAGCTGCAGTGAAATGAATAACCGAGAAATAAATAAACGAAAACGTTATAAATGAAAAAAAGAAAAGGAAAAAAAAAAAAAAAAAAAATCTCCGAAGACCAGGCTTAAATTTTTATCGGAACCCGGTTCCAGTATTTCTTAGTTTCCAAGTAAAATAATTCCGGTCGGAGCCTGAAATAAGATGAGCTTTTGTACTTTAATTTATTACTTAACTGCTCGTCATTAATTTAATTTAATTAATTTATTTTTTACCTATCTCTTCCCATTTTATTTAATTTTAATTCTTAATAATTTTTAGTCCAAAGGGGCTTTATACCTGAGGGACTTTGTTTTCGTTTTGCGATTTGCATGGAATCATTCTGAATGTCCGTTTCATTTTTCAAACTGTTGCCACCAAATCCTATCGCCCGGCATTATATTTGAAAAAATTAAATAATGAAATATTTTCATAAATGTATATATGTTTCTGTTGTATCATAAATTATAATACGACGTTTAGCTTAAGAGAGCTTCTCCTGACGCATGCGCCGTTCGCGTTTATCCGCGCGGTGATGACGTGATGACTGTAACTTAAATTATTACGTATGTATGTATATGTATTACCATTCTTACTTCTTCGTCTTTTTCTCTGCTGCCCGCAACTGTGTTTAATTTAATTTCTGTCGTTAAATATGTTCATTGATGTTACAATCTGTTTAGGCCTCATTTATTTCTTCACTGGTTATGGGCCCAAGAACGTTTCAATTGTGCCTAATTAGCAAAATACTTATTTTAAAATGAACATTTTGAAGTTTTCGAGCATTGAACTCTTAAGCCTAATTCAGTGCAAGAACTTGTTACGTCCTAATCAACGGTAAGAACTGATCAACGTTCAGTTAAGCCTATTTTTATAGCGCTCAATCTTGTTTTTTTTGGCTTGTGAGAGACTGTTTTACATTATGTCGCATTTGAACTACTATAGAAAAGCTCAGAAAAGATAATTTTGACAGTTGGAAATTAAAAATAGAAGCAGTATTGATTAAAAACTACCATTTGGGTATTATGTAACCGGTAAAGAGCTAAAACCTGCTGAAGGAACCGAAGACGAAAAGAAATGGCTCCAAGCTGATCAAAAGCTCGCGCAGATATAATTCTTGCTATTAATCCTAGTGAACTGTGTCATATAAAGCATTGGTGTGACATCAAATGCTGTGTGGAATAAACTCAAAGCCGTATATGAATCGAAAGGACCTGCGAAGAAGGCTACATATTAAAACATCTTTTATTTAGAAAAAATGGTGGAAAGCGAAACGATGTCTGAACATTTGAATAATTTCTTCGAAATGGTTGATAAGCTTAAACAAATGGAAATTGACATAGCTGATGATTTATTATCGATTCTTCTGCTCTATAGTATTCCAGAAAATTTTGAAAATTTTAGATGCGCCATCGAATCAAGAGATCAGTTACCTAGTCCCGAAATGTTAGAAGAATGGGAAGCAAGAAAAGGGAAAACATCTCAAGATTCACAGAATGCATACTATACTGATTATAAAAGAAGAAATCAAGAACAGAAGAAAAATGAAAAATGGAAGGTAAATTCAAACAAAAATTTTCCAGCTGAAAGAAATTTTCGAAACTTGAAGTGTAATTACTGCTCGAAAATTGGGCACAAGGCATCTGAATGCAGAAAGAAAATAGCTGATAGAAAACATGGACATCAAATAAGGGAAATCAAGGTTCTATGATGGTTCTTCTAATTAAAGAGCAGATTATTTAGCAGTAAACAATGCTTATCAGAAGACCTCCTCATGGTGCTTAGATAGTGGCTGTACATCTCACATGTGGCAATGACAAAGGTTATTTTCAGAATTTCACCCTCGAACGAATTCAGCCATAACGTTAGCAGTTGACAAAACAGCAAAAATTACAGGAATTGGAACTGTCCTTATAACAGTACCTAACGGAAATAAGACAATTAAACTTACGCTCAAAAATGTGTTATGTGTTCCGGAATTAAATGTAATTTGCTGTCAACATCTAAAGCTACTGCAAATAATCGTTTCGTGATTTTTACAGAACGACATGCTAGAATAATAGAACCAAATGGATCTATACTAGTGCAGGCTATTCGTCATGGTGATCTTTATTATATACATCCAAGCACTGAAACAGCTGCAATAGCACAGGTAAGTGATTTTGTAAAGTGGCATCTTAAATTAGGTCATTTAAATGAGTCTGATTTGAAAAGACTTAAGTCTGATACTGGTTAGAATTTAAATTTTAATAACACTGAATCTCTAAAAGACTACAAAGTCTGTATCAGAGGTAAACAAACTGTGCAACCTTTTTCAAAAAGAATCAAAATTTCAAAGTTATGAATTACTGTACTTGATTCACTCAAGATTTGTGTG